CGAAATCATATATAATGCTGACTGATACAATAAAAACGAATATCGTACTAGCTGGCTAGTAATAAACATCTGAGAGCTTTTCAATTTTCTCTGTATCGCGGGAAGGTTTATTGAATTCTAGTTCACTTGCAATTCTGATGTTTTCAGTATTTATACGTAATCTCACAAAGTTTTATAATACATGAAAATAATGCCGATCGACTCGCAACTTAACTTCAACATCGAAGACCGAATAAACGACATTGTACAAAACGTTTTGGGTGATTTCATCGATTCTGGTATTGTGGAGATGTTAGACGGCATCGTCAGCCAAATCGAGACTACCGATGAAAACGATGTCCATGAAGTCCATGCGGACAAGATCGTAGCAGAAATCTTCGATTCTATGTCACCCGTTGTTCACGGATATGCGTTGTCCAGCGGKGACGCGCCGCCGGTAGAATTCCAGCCCGTCGGATCCACTGCGGCTTCTGAGGACGGACCGCAGGGCAACGCGGTGCAGAACGTGGAAAAAGAGAGCGTGCCAGCCAATAGGGGAGAGGAAGTAATCAACAACTTCGGTGAATTAGTCGGTTGGTTGGATCCGGGAGCAACACCCGTACAACGCGCTCCACGCCGCCGGAACCCATTTTCGGCGTTGTGGAGACGCTTCAGACACTTTGTACGTGAATTGTAGGGTTTCAGAGGCTAAGGGGTTCACTAATCACAAAGTTGAAACACCCCTTGAGGGGAGACATGTGGAAGGAAGATGGCGACGTAAAGTATTTGAAAATCTAGGAAAGAGCGCTTATGGTGCAAGGCAGTACGTCTCCGGCGCACGTTCTTCGGATACGCCCGTGTCGCGCTCGGTCGCCACTGATGCACGAGACCCACTGGCGTCTCGATTGGCGTCCGGCTGCAGTTAAGTCGCGTTGAGCAACGAACTACGATGACGGCGATTAGCGGTACCGACGTGGACATCGATTTCGCCTCGGCACTTCGGCAGTATACCAACGACGATGGCTGCACCACTTATAATACGTCGGCAGCGGCGGAAACTTTGAGATAAGTGATGAGTGATGATCAAAAATTTCTAGTCTGTGTTGATGGTATAGAGAAGATGGCGATAAGAATACACAGTGCCATATCCGGATATCCCTCATGAACATATGCGACATCCCATATATTTTTTATTAAATTAATTATGCTCCACTTCTGGGACTATAGTGGGCTTGATCAATTTCATCACACGATGAAATCAATTAATGTTATAAAGTTAGGCTTCCTTTAGCAAACAATGWTTAATAATAATAATAGAATTACGTTACTATTATACCTCATTATATTTTTTAGATTCTAATGGTTATAATATATAATTATGAATGATTATTCGTCGTATAAAATATTTTTTTTATTTGAAACATGTACCTATATAAATGTATACATTTGTAGCTGTGCATTTAATTGTTATAATATTTGAATTTTGTAAGTCGTAATAAACTTATAAGCTACCTAATCTAATAAAGTAATAACATAAATATAAATTTAATTGGCACAAACGTCATCAATGTTATCGACGTTTTTTCCGAAATGTATGATCGTTGTTTGAAAATTGGAATTAGTCTGTGTTAGTATTTGCTACTATGTACTAGTACTATAAATAATTAATAAAATAATACCCAATGTTTAAAAAAACAGAAAATGAACACTAGGMTTTTYGTAAAATKTGTTGTATAATTGTTTCATTAGCCAATAAAGGCAAAGCTGATTTAATACAAATTTTGTCTTCGTCTAAAAATTCAAAAAAATAATATTATGTATTCCAGTATTAAGTATTTTATACATAATTTAGTAAATAAAATGTCTTGTTAATTAAATAAATATTAACTATGAAATTAGAGTTTTTTTTATTACATTTATGGCTTTATATACTATGTACTCTTTTCTTAAAGACACAATATGTGGTAACCCTAAGTATATAACCCTTCACGATTATCAGATTATTATATTGTATTCGAGGAAATATTTAAATCATAAAACACTAGACGCGAAGAAAACTGCGAAATAAATCATGTAATAACGCATTTTACAGATATGTGTGAGTGTGTGTGTGTGTGAGTGCGTGAGTGTGCCGAAATACAAAATGAGTATCGAAATTAATATTATAATACATAATGTAGGTAGTAAGCAGAATATATATATATATATATATGTGATAGGTATATAATATTATAATAATTTGTATTAAACATGGAAGCGTGTGTACGACGAGCAAGTCCATAGAAAAATACCTCTAAGGTGTTTTMGTATAATSKWAWWAARRRGGRAAMYTKSMA